TCACACAGGATAGCTGGGTGTAGAATTGATCACGCGTGTCATCAGGTGATAGCTGGGCGAAAAAGCCGAGTGCCAAGGCGCGCGTGTTCGCCACAAATCGTGCTTGAGACGGACTTTGTGCGTGTGTTACCTATGCGCAGCCGAAACCTTATAAAATCACGCGTCAGACGGCATGCTTGTTACTAAGGTCTGGCCAGAAACTTCTGAAATCGCGCGTCAGACATCACGTGCGTTGCCATGCCCTGGGCAGGCGGATGAAGACTAGCGTGCCCGAGCAAGACGGCGAACTGGCCAGACGGTGCGGACAACGGAGTGTGGAGCGTGGGCTAACAGCCAAATCCACCAGTCGATGTTTAGAGGATTGATGAGACCGACATATAAATTTGAGCATTCTCTGTCCTAATATCGCTCTCGTCTGCTGAGTCTTCTTCTGTCTTCCTTCCTGTCGGGTTTGTCAAGGCGTCAAACAGAGCAGGCGTAAGGGCGCAGTTTAACCAGCAGACGTGAATCAACCGGTCGATTGCGGGTACAGTGTTATAACATTACATAATAACATTACATTAATAACATTAATAACATTAACATTAATAACATTAATAACATTAATAACATTACATAACATGCTCCGACGGTGCGTGCTTATAAATGTGGCAAACTTACCTCTTCCGAGTCGTAGGCGAACAGTCGTGTGCTGATGCCTGTTGGTTCAAGTACCAGCTGGCCATGTAGGCGATGGGATATTGCAAATCCGACCCCATGATCACGTGGTGCTGAAACGGCGTTGCCCACCCTGTGGAAGGTGTAGCCAGCACCTGCTTCATGCAACTTACCTTGCCCAGCGAGCCGAGTTTCACTGAGCGCTGCAATATCGATGTTGTAGCGCGCCAGTTCCCTCACGACTATTGCAGTGCGTCGCTCGGGGCGCTCACTGGAGTTCCGGTCCAGTAGTGTGCGGACGTTCCAACACCCGTTGCTGAGTGCTTTGCGCGCAGGCATACGATTGCATTGGTGGGCAATCGCACTCGAGGTGGCGGTTGTGCTTTGGAGGTTTGCTTGAGGGGATTCCACCCGGAGCCTTTGGCTCAATAGCCTGACTCACTAGGTAGGACGGGATTCGGAGGGTTGCTTAAGGGATTCTGCCCAGCTTGGGAATGTGATTACGGAGACAGATTGGGATATGCTTGACGGCCGTCACACGCAGTTTTTAGGTACTGGATCGATTCATATATGTTTTACGACCGTAGTAGGATACGCACCTGCGATCACGGCCAGACGCAGGTGGGTTTTGGCGGGTTTGCACCGATTTGACTAGGGGCTATCTGGCCTGAGACGGGCAGTTAGCATACCATTGGACACCCGTAGGTGCCCTCCCGCCGTCAGAGACAATACGTGGCTTTCATGCTCTGCACCAATCGAGCTGTGATCTTATAACCCGTGTTTAGGTTTTACGGGAAGAGGGCCATCGACCACTTCGTACCCTCCGAAGGGGATGGACTAGCATACTGGCAAGACGCATACACCTAACAGGAGAACGACTAAGGAATTGTCCAGGACATGAGTCCATGACACAACAATTCTAGCAGTGGGTTGTCTATTTGTCAGAATCTTGCTAACACCAGCCTCAGCGCGCCATAGGCCATCCCGCCTAAATATGGTTGGTGGCATCCGGTTTCGGATTTGCCTGTCACTGGCCAGCCACAGGACGCCTCCGCCTACAGAGGGACCATTGGTGGTTTTCGCTGCACTACCCACAGCTCCAACCACACACCCCATATGCAGTATAAACCTGAAGAAATAAGACCGGGATGCATATGGATGTGAGCCACGTTTCATCAACGGAGCCATCCCACACTCCTTCACAGACAAACACAAGCACGCTGTATTTGGGGAATCAAGCGCACACAAGGCGGTGGCTGGACCGTAGTCCGCTCCACACTGAGTGCATGGAACCACTCTTTGAGGCTAACACGGCCCCAAGGACCGTGCACACCGTCTCCTCCAGCAACGACCAACTGTCTCCTAGAGCCAATATGAACGAGGTAGTGGGTAATAGACAGGTAGGCACCTTGTCAACATGCACATCAAGCGCATCCACGCCGGGGATATCACGCAACGACCATTCACTTGAAACGACAAGATGAAATAAAATGAATCCAATAATGCGTACAGATACCGTGGCATAACTCTTCCCTAAATTACCAAATGAAGTAAGTTGGTTAGCAGGGAATCTGCGACAAGTAAGAATTGTTCACAGTTTACTTGAAAATGCTACAAACGCAACAAAGTTACCGAAGATAAGCGCAATTAGCGTAAGCAACGTGGCCAGTTAATAGAACATTATTCAGGTAGGCAGAACAAACCAAATAAAGTGGAATGCACTTTATTCAGCTTAAAAAGACCTAGTTTAAGTGTAGTGTGACTTAGCCCAACTGCGATGAGGAATCATCAAGAGTGCAACATCCTATATATATATATATATATATATATATATATATATATATATGATCGAATATATCTAAGGCAACGGCTCAAGAGGCAGACATAAGGTGTCCCTTCGGACAGATGGTTCCCATGAATTTTTTCATGCATTGTGAGCACTACTCATCGTCCATTGCACTTGTGCACTACGCTTTCGAATGCGAACTAGGTTTGTACACCGAAAACTGCTACAATCAGTTTTAGCATTCTAATTAAAGCAGTAACATCAATATTGTATAGTTTGGATGTCTAGGTAGTAAAAGTATACAAAAGTTGCACTTTAAGGGTAAACATTTTAAAAAATAAACCTGCATGTCAGCGTAATTCACAAATTCTAGGAAAATGAAACTTCTTTTGTCCGCGTGATTTTCCACGGGATGAGAAGTATCTAGTGAAGAAGTCTGTTGCTTGGTAGTTAAATTAAACGATGGATTTAGTTTTTCCATCACGTTCTTGTTAAGTTCCAGCATGTCACTGCGTCTGCTATTTATTGCGTAGAAGCGTTAAGTATCAACTGAACCCTATGCGTCCATGAATGTATTCTTTGTCGGAACGTCTGTGGAATCCTGTTCCTGCTCGTTTGATTCCCTGTTCACATACTCAAATGTTAAATTTTGAAGGGACAGGAATGTCCCAGTTTATTTCTGTTGTGTTACAAGTTTGGAGATTAGAATCAACCATAGGGCGTCCAAACAATTCCTTTGAAAGATATTTCAATGCAGTAGAGGTTGCAGGAGGTACAATGTACTCATCTGCCTCAAGTCCAGGTTGCATTGCTGTTTTAGGCTCTGTTTACATGACAAGGAAACTGCTTCACAAAAGCACTTAGAGATTGTTGTGTTCTCCTCCTCCCATGCGGTCCAGAATACGGCTTCCAGTAAATTGACTTGTTTTTTGAACTCGGTTCCGGACAAATCGGATAGTTTTGCTTTCCAGTCTGATGCAGCATACATATCTGAGTCACCACTTTCGCCAGATTGCTTACCAATTGCAAGATTGTGTCTGTTGATGAAAGCCTGCTGGCAAACCGTTTTATGCTTTAAAGTCTGCTTTTTACTTCTTTTGCAAAATGCAATGCTCCTTGAGTCATCGGTCCAGATAACGACTTTTCTTGCAAGTGCAAACTGGCACCATTTCCAACAAAGTGTGTTTATGTCCTCCTTTTCCTTATTTCTGCTGTTCCTTTTTTCCGTCTTCGTTCGTTGTTTTTAAAGTCATTTAAAAACTCGGCTTTCTCCTTTACAGTTCAAAGGATTTGTATCTTTCCTACTCCGAAACGTTCTGTTAATGTTCGCGAACATTTTTCTTCTTAATTTTGTCGAATCACTGATATTCGCTCTTCAAGGCTTACAATTTTGGAAGTAGGGATTTTGTCCTTTGTCAGACTCTTCAACCCAAAACTTTTCTGCTCGATCTGGGCACAGAATGCTGCGGTTTCTTTTTGTCTCTTGTAATTTATACAGACAGAATACTCGCATTGCTAGACAACGGCGCACAGTTTCCAATGGTATCCTAAACTTACCGATAACATGTACTTTTGTGGACAGACCAACAACACTCATTTACACCCGCGGACAGGTCATTTACCACTGCACTGCTGGTGTCTAGACATACTACCCAGACAAACTAAGCAGAACGAGTGGCGAATTATCATACCTCCAGACGATACTGTGGTAGACTTTCATAACACCGCAAGACAAAATGTCAGCCATTCGTGCTAAAAATGGTCGCCTTTTGCAGGTGCTAGAATGTGGTCGCGGTTACTTTTAACAGCTGGACGCGATACAGAGGTTACGACCAATGAGATAATATAGGAAAATATGCTGGGGATATTTTTTACTGGTCCCCATGCCGTATATATATATATATATATATATATATATATATATATATATATATATATATATATAGGATCATTTATTAAGGGGGCGCTCTTGCACTCAGCCTTTTGCTTTTGATTTCCGTCCTTTTTTGATAACGACCGTTCCGATTAACATATCTGTTTCACTTTTTGCGAACTATCATCATCGTTGCGACTCCAGTCATCTTTATCCGCTTCGTTACAAGGCTTATACCATAGTTTAATAACTGGACCGAACAGGATTCTCGTCCTGAGAGGAATAGACTTTGTATCCTTATGCGTCCAATTAGTATTCTATAAGCCCGTTCACCTACTTTCAATTGCAATACTCACGCTTTTTATGCCAATACTGTGACGTACGCAGAGATTGAGGACGAAGTCACCTTACCCCTTGTCTAAACGGTAGCTTTTGATCGTCCTTCGACCCCCATCTTTTCCACCGATTTATCCGCAGCGGCGGTTTTCCCTATTTTTGACCACTGCACTGTTCCTTGTTTGCTCTCTAAGATGCCGGATCTCATTGCGATAAATTCTCGCAACAATAATTCTTGATCTCAAGCGCTGTACTTGGCTCATCACATACGCGATCTCGCAATTATTTGTGCTGGAAAATATTATAACGTTACTGAGTTGCCATTGCTTTACACATTCCTAAATACAGAAAAGAAAGGATGGCGCTTATAGCAGCATGCAAGAGCAAATTGAATTCATTCGATAATCAGCTATGGGCAAACGAGAAACTCAAGGCTTTTGTGCAACTGTGGGCCGCTAAAAAGTCGTCTAATTTTAAATTAACTGGTATGTCTGTATTTGATTTCATAGATTTCATACAGCTCTCCCTGATTCAATTCGCGAAATGTGAGTTTCACCTTCAAAAGTTTTCATTTTTCATTAGTGTGCACAGGCTGGTAGGTTATTATGATGAAAGCCTGGAATCTCTCTTGGATCAAGCCCTGGACAATGATGTAAGTCTGTTTCTTCGGGATACTTGGCAGCCGTAGCTTTGTACAAATCCTTTTACATGCGCTTACGTCGTTTCCAGACATGCACTACTTTATACAATGCGAAAGATACAGACATGTCAGTAGCCACTGGAGAAAACCATCCCTATGTTTCCCAAGACAATATAGCTAATGTCAAAAGTGGTGTCGAAGTTTCCGATTCCGAGATGCCTGACTCAGAACCGAATACGCGTTTTGGAGTCTCCAGTTGTCTGACGCTTTCTGCACTTGATGTAAGCCTCCTCCCCTCCAGACGTGAGTTTGATATAACTTTTTCTTGCGCACGTTTTTGGATGTAGACCTTAATAAAAGACACTGCGTTTTATCAGAGTGAATTAAAACTATTCATACTATTTTTTACATCCATTTAAGGAAAGCAAGCAAATAAATGTCAGTGGCGCGTTTTCCTGAGAACACCAAATACAAATACGCTGTTTAATACAACCTTTTATAATCAAAATGCCTTCCCGTAACCGAAAGGACAAGGCGTTTGCATTGCAACCCGGAAGTTCCAGGTTCTAGTCTGCCTAGAGGACCGGGCGACTCTTGCCGTGTCTTTAACCTACGCGCGACTGGCGGGGTTTGCGTGGCAGCGAAGTGTTGGTACGGCTACCAGCGTACTACTGATGCCTTTATAAGGAAAATATCTCATTGTTAAGTGTTGTAAAGCTGCCTTCGTACTGCTGCTATTCTGCGCCTGCGAGACTACGATCGCCTGATTGCTCAGTCACGCGCCCAACCAGCCGACGGGATACAGAAAGCCAAGGCTCGGTAAACAGGGAGTCTGTTCTATTCTATATATTGGTGAACGAAATATACTAATTTTGGAAGCGTTTGGCTCTCAGCCAATGTGAGTTAATTCCGTATTTATAAATAAATAAATTTGTATATTTACCGACAGACGGTACACGGCCCCATAAGTGGGGACGATCATCTGTATAGTGAATACGTTTCATAGCATTAAAGGAAAGTTTGTTGATAGCATTTCGGATCATGATTATTTTTCCTTGAGTCCTAGACCCGTGCAACTGGTATGTAAAATTTACGGATGTTGGTATCGTCAGGAGTAGATAACAAAGGGAGGGACTACTAGGCTGTAAAGACACAGGACTTGGTATGGTATGTAATGAAATGTTGTGGGTAAGCTAGCTGTAAGCGGTTATCTTCTCATATGTTTTTTACACCAACTTCTGTCAATGTTTCTAGTGTTTGCTGTGAGTCAAATATCTTCAAAGCATTTGGTATAGTGAGGAAAGTCTGAAGGAGATTTCGAAACGTAACGTAGCTTGTACACATGCGTATCTGTAGGGGTAGTTTGTTCCCCAGATAAGTGTATCTCACTAAGAAGAAATTCGACCGAATTTTATGACTTGAAAGGTTTGTACGTATCAAGTAGCCGCCATTACATGTGGGGTAGACTGCAGTCTTCCGTAGTTCAAGTGCGGTGTTGTCTGCGTAAATTCGTTGGTTTATAATATTGTAGAAGAGAACAAGGTTGTTCTTTAAGCTTCTCAGCCAAAGTGCATCCAGCTGGAGTTTTCAACAGCGATCATAATAAGTCAGGTTTGAGCAGCGCCCCATGAGCAGCTTGGTAAATGATCGTGGGACATTTTCCAGAACAGTTCTGTCTTTCTTTCTCAATTGGCTGTGAACGATAGTACAATATTCCAGAGTCGGTCGTACTATTGTCTTGAATGACTCAAGTCGTGCTTCAGGTAGGGAGAAAGTTCTGATGATATATCTGAGTACTGCCTTGCTTTCGCAACCTGATAAAGAACATGTTCGGAGAAATTGAAAGAATTGGAGTATCTAATTCCTAAGTCCCGAACTGAGTCAGATGTTGGAATCACGTTTCCGGCAAGTATAATGGAGCCTTCTGGGATGCGGCATCTGTACCCAAATACTTGGGATTTCACAGCGGAGAACTTCATTAATAAACGCTCACTAACTATATTTAGTGCGGTTAAGTCTTCACAGATGTTCCTCAAACACATGTAGTTGGTCTGGATGAAATGAGTACACGAGTTTGACATCATCTGCAAACATAAATGGGTGTCCATGTTTGATCGGGTCACATATATTGTTTACGTAGATCAAGAAAAGTAGTGGTCCGAGCACACTTCTGTGGAAGACACCGCTGGTTATTGGCTTCGGTGTAGAATGTTGCTGACCGATTTTAACGACCTGAGTTCGACCGTTTAGGTATGAGTGGAACCAGTTAAGCAGCGGATTTCCAACTCCATATGACTCTATAGCAGACAGCAGTGGCTGGTGTTGCAAGCTGTCGAACGCCTTTTGCATGTCCAACAGAATTATAATAATTGCCATTCCTCTGTCAATCATAGTCGTGATGTGATCGAGCAATTGTAGCTGGCATGTAACGCAGGAGCGTTTTGAGAGAAAGCCGTGCTGTGAAGGGTTGATCAGATCCAGTCTTGTAAGATATTGGACAATGTTCTTCTTAACTATTCGCTCTAGGGCTTTGGAAGCAGCAGGGGTGTGATTTATTGGGCGGTAGCTTGACACTTGATTTCTCGGTCCACCCTTGTGCTTAGGCATTATAATGGATTGCTTCCATTGAGCTGGAAAGCAGTCGGTAGTGAGTGAAAGTGTGAAAATGTTTAATAACAATAGTGCGAGGTTTTTTCCTCCCAGTTTTATAACATTTGGGGAGATGCCATTTGGACCTGGATGAGTTGATCGTTTTATGGCTGCGATGGCACTTTGCACCTCTCTTAACGTCACAGGGATATTGCAGTAGTTCGGTTGTTCTTTTTGGAAGTGATGGATGAAGTGGCTGTATGTTGGGGACAAAACAGGTGACAAAACTAGAGTTCATGGCCTCACATACACAGATGTCGCGTGTTATTGAACCATCGTCTAGAGCCAACGTTTCAATTTCCTGCAGTGGTTTAGGGTTCCTTCTTTTGAGTAATTGCATCAATGTACGTACTTTCTCAAGATTTCTGAGTACCCGGCTTTCTTCTTTGATTTTGACCATTAGGATTAGACGTTGTAACTATAGTAAGTTCTCATGTATTTGTAACAGTGTTGCGAAGCTCTTGTTCTTGCGATATAGCGATTTGAGTTTCTTTAGTTTGATTTTGGCTTTCGACAGAAGCTTGAGTTCACCCCTATGTTCATGGGTATTTCTCATTACAGTAGGTGCTAGTAGATCCACAACAAGAGCAATATTTATAAACTCATTTGTAGCCACATTGTGGTTGTGAGTTAGGAATGACGTATTCCAATTCATGGTACTGATAAGTTCATTAAATGCGTTCCAGTCCACACGATGGAGGTTGTGAATGGGTTTTAGCATTTTACTTGGTCGTTTCGGTAAATCAATAGTCATATCACAAAGCACCGTGTTGTGATCACAGCCAGGTAGTGGATTATCAGTGAATGTATAAGCGTTCGCGATTCCCATCGCGAATACAAGAACTAAGGTAGTAGCACTTCTGGTTGGCTCTCTAACATGCTGAGCCCAGCCATTGAGGTGGATACATGCGATAATTTCCTCAATCTCCGCCGTGTTTCTGAGTGTAAGCAGCATCCAGTTAACGTGTGGTAGATTGAAATCTTCACACATAATTTTGGATTTGTATGTGGTGCTGGAAGCAACATTGATCAAATCGATTAGCTTTTGAGTTGCACATTGAGTATTTCGGGGCGGCCGATAGATACAACCCACTAGAAGATAAGTAGATGGGATCACCAGCCATAGTGTATCTTCTAAGCCAATGAACACAGGTTGATCTGCGGGAATGGCAGTTAGGTTATTTCGAAGATACATGACACAGCCACCACCACGTTTGTGTGCGCGATCCTTGCGGAAAAGCTTATCGCCTAGGATGTTAAGCTGAGAATCAATAATTTCTGACGTGCACCAAGTTTCAGTGATAAAAACAGTATCGGGGGATCTCATAAACATAAGTGTTGAAAGTATATCTAATTTAGGTAAAAGCAAACGAATGTTAATGTCGACAGATTTGAAAGACATTGTTAAATTGGAATGAAAGTGGTGGGTAATGTTTGTTTCATCGTCATTGTATCTGAGAATTGTGCGTTGTGAGGTAGCTGAGGCACACTGAGCTCTAGATCGTACTGGATTGAATGAATTACAGACTCCAGTAGTTTGATTATTCTCTGATTAATACTCACACGTGATAGGGGCAGGATTGGTGAGGGAGGAAGTGGTGGTGTGCGATAGTCTAAAAAAGGACTGACATCCGTAGTATACAGGGATGGAGGGATGCTGTAGTCTACAAACTCATTTTGCTTCGGTTTGTATTGTTGCCAATTGACTAATACAGGGGGTGGTGGTGGGTGAATTTTGACTTGAGGTAGATAGGGTTTGCATCCTCTTACTTGTAAGTCCGTGTGGCCCACTACCATTTTGTTTGCTATTTCGGTGTCGCACACCTAAGAACTTTGCCAGATTGAGGTCGCGCGATTTGGAAATGTAGTCAGAGCCATTGTGGGTACGTATTGGGCCGGCTCTCTGCAACTTATCCCGACAACGGTGTCGGTTTTGCATGTAGAGGCTTGAGGACGTATACTTTTTCTCAGTTGGCCTAGCTGCATATTCCTACGCTCTGGTGGTGGTTGCTTCAGACCTAATGAGCTTTGAGTGCTTATGGGAGAAATTCTGGCATGGTGCTTTCCCCTATTTTTGCCTACGCCTCGGTTGGTCTTAGATAACCTATAACTTAGTTCATTCAAGTCGGATTGAGATTTGTTTTTCGTGCTGCCAACGTTACGATCTGAATTTTTGTCTCGCTCATGATACGTCTCAGGTACAGTTACTGTCAACCTTTGTAAAGGCTCGCGGTTTGGAGAAGGGATAAAGGAGTTGAGTGTGTGGCCAGCAGGTATCTGCGTCGTTATATTTTCAGCTTGGTTGGTAGTGTTATTTTTGGACACGTCACTACTGCTGTTGGAGATTCTTTCATGAGGCCGCTGAAGACTGAGATGTCCATCATCGTCTATATTAGACGACGCGGTTGACTTATCAAGGTCGACATTGCTGATGACAGCGTCAGTACTGGCTTCATTAGTAGGAACATGGGGTATATGATGGGTAGAGGGGCTTTGTTTCATTGTTAATAGTCTCTGAAAAGGCGTTTGATCGTGTCTGATAATAATATTTTTAAAATTAGTTTGTGCAGCAACTAGTCTTTTACTGCGTACAAATTTAGATGCGCTCCTATCGTCTGTTAACTGTTAGAGTATCGGACATGTGGTCATGTTTT